ATTTAGTGTCGCATTTACTGAGGGTGCACTTAATCCTCTTGCCAAGTTCATCAACAAAGATAACAAACAGGACTGGGCCCAACACTGATCCCTGGGAGACATCACCAGTGACCAACTGGCAGCTGGATGTAGAACCATTCACCAGTACTCTCTGGGCCCGGCCATTCATCCAGTTCTTATGCCAGCAGAGAAGCACCTGCCCAAGCCACAGGCTGCCAGCTTTTCCAGAAGAATGCCATAGGAGAGATAGTGTCAAAGGCCTTACTGAAGTCCAGATATACAATATCCACGGCTTTCTCTCAACCGCTAGGCAGATCACCTGGTCATAAAAGGAGTTAAGTTTGGTCTGGCAGAACCCGCCTTTCCGAAAGCCCTGCTGGCTGGGCCTGATCCCCTGGTTGTCCTGTAGGTGCTGTCTGATCACACTCCAGATGATATGCTCCACGACCATCCCAGACACCGAGGTCACGCTGACAGGGCTGTAGTTCCCTGGATCCACTCTCTGGTGCTCCTTAGAGATGTACATCACATTGTCCAGCCTCCAGTCATCTGGCACCTCCCTGGTTAGCCAGGACTGGTGATACAGCTTGGCAAGCTCTTCAGCCAGCTCCCTCAGCACACTTGGATGAAGTGTATCTTCCAGTCCCATAGATTTATGAGTATTTAAATGGCTCAGCAGGTCACTAACTACTTTCTCCTGGATTACAGAGGGTCTGTTCTTCCCCCTGTTCCTGTTTACCAGCTCAAAGGCTGGTTTCTCTGAGGATAACCAGTCTTACTATTAAAGACTGAGGCAAAGAAGGCATTAAATATCTCCGTCTTTTCCTCATCTTTGGTGACAATGCTCCCCCATGTGTCCAATAAGGATGGAGATTTCTCTTTGCCTGCCTTTTGTTGTTGATGCATTTATAAAAACATTTTTTAATATCTTTCACAGCACTGGCCAGATTGAGTTCTATTGAGCCTTTGCCTTTCTAATTTTTTCTCTACAAGACCTAATGACATCCTTGTACTCTTGTTGAGTTGCTTGACCCTTCTTCCAAAGGTCATAAACTCTCTTTTTTCCCCAGAATTCCTGTGAAAGGAAAGCTACGCTAAACAACAGTTTTAGCTCTTGACTGGTTATGCATGCTAAATGCTTCATTTCTATTGTATTCGTTTCCAACACTGTAAAATCAATACTCATAGTCTGAAAAAAAAAGGGTTTGCAGGGAAAATTAGGATGGTTATACTATGTGATGTCTAGACACAAGGAGTGCCATGTGGGATCAGATCAAAATTCCATTTATCTCATTATCTTCTCTCTGACAAGGGTCTGTAGGGGATTTGAAGGGCGGAGAATGTTAAAAAAAAAAGGCATATGTGAATTGTTCCTTACAATACCTCTCATTTTTCAAAAATAAGCTGCGGAAAATCTTGCTTTACTGTAAGTGTATCATCATGCTTAACAAGACAAATGGAGCTATGCCTTTTTAATTTATCTAACCCCTTATGAACTTATCCAGGCTGTTTGCTTTCACAATGCTTTATGGCCACAAGTCCCATTATTTAATTACACCTAATGTGGGCATCATTGTGAACCTGCTGTCTGATGGTTTCTTCTCTCATCCCATGTTTCTACTGTTTTTGAGAGAGAGCAGATAGCATTTTCCTGCAGATCTGCTGTCTCCATGCCAGTCACAAAAGGATATACTCTTGTTCGTTTATTTTCCAATCTGAAAACTCATATTTTATGTAATTTTTCCTTTTAAGCAAATTTGTCCCCAGCTCATCCTGTTCTGTTTTCATTTTGAGGTGGAGTAATATGTACTAGATCAAGGTTTCCCACTGTAAAAATGCAACTGCAAAGAATGTCATAATGGTATTTTCCAGCTCTCAGTTCCTTGAAAAAAGAGAAAAAGCTAACATAGTGTAAAAAGTTTCAAAAAAAGTGACCTGGGCCTCCATCAAGGAGAGATAAATTTACTTCGGATGACTAAGTGCCACATGCATTATATTTTCACAAGCTTATCTGTGAAGGTACACAAAATTGCTTTGAGGCAACAGCTGATCTACACTCTCCTCCAAGTTTGTGTCTTAAACTTTGCTGGGTTAAAGTTCAGTGCCCACAGTCTGAAAGCACCACTGTAAATCAGTCTGCTTTTCCTTGGATATTAACTATGAACTAAACACACTTATTCCAGGAACCTCTTTTCAAGCTTTCCCAGATTAACTAATATGTGATACAGGAAATTATAATGAAAGAAAGTGATGGCTTTCCTGATAAATAAGTGTCAGAGGAAATATAAAAGTTGTATTTCAAGCACCATTCTTTTGACATATATTCAGGTATTTAGGCATAGAAAGGCAGAGATTTATATGCTTTTTAAAAGAAAAATTAAATTCCTTCATCATGGTTTTCTCAGTGGTTCAAAATGAAACCTGGTAAATGAATCAGTTGCATTTCTACTGGCCATTGCTGTACCTTGGCTTGTCAACTCTCTGTAGCCAGATTCCAGATAATTTTTCCTTGTCTTCTCCTTAAGAGTTTTACTGATACTTTCTGGGATACACTTTTGTACATATTTGTCACGGGATGCTGTGTTTTCACTGTAAGTCTGCACAACCTATGCTGAGCAACCCTCCTAAATACAGAAAATAATCAGCTATACAATGCGCTGTCATAACAAAATTGTGGTTTATACCAATTATGTTTATCATGCAAACATACTACCTTTAAGTTTTGTCACCTTTAAGTTTTTCCTGCACAGTTAAATCTTCTGTTCCATTGCTTCTTGTCTTCAGACAGAGAACCGAAACCTGCATAGCTAACAGTGATCAAATACTGCCCTCCAGAAGGAGGCAACATATTTTGTAGTCTAAATGAATTTACAGACCATTGTCCAGACAGGCAGATACTTAACACTGAAAATTCTGAATGAACCACAGACAGAAGCACAAAGACAGAGCAGGGTAGAAAGGACAATTACAATAGCACACATTGCAGCCTTTAGAACCAATGTATTAATTTCAAATCCAACATTCCCATGAGTACCCTCATGTTAGCTTTCAGTATCTCTAGCAATCAAGGTGATGCAGAATGGAACTAAAGCATGCTACAAAATCTGCTGGAAGAGGAGGAAGAAATACCTTCAACAGTGCAAATATTACTGCTAACCAAAATACCTGCTAAAAACAGAGTTATCTTGAATGTGTTTACATGGACTGCAGAGAACGCACTATAGATTTATGTCTTGCAGGTGCTCTGAATACTTAATATAAAGCACCAAGTGCAGTACATGAATACAAAATAAATGTAGCCCTATGGCTAAGCAGTCTGAGCTTCCGAAAATCAGGATCTCCAGAAAACTGGACTGCCATATATCAGTTTAGATGGAGTAGGTAAAACCTTGCTGCATTGGTAAATTCCATTTAAAAATAGAATTAATGGGGAATAGTCAATAGAGACAGGAACCTCTTTTTGCTGCTTACAGACTTAATGATCTGATCGTTCTAAAATAATTTCTCCTTGCTTCTCCTTGGATTCTCTCATCCCAATATTTTGCCTCTGGAAATGTAGGTTTTGTGTTTGAGAAAGGGTTAGGTAGGAATGAGCCACATTGCTAAGTTTGTGCTGTCCTTTGTGGGGCACATGCAGCAACTGTCTCAGCATACTTTCCCAGTTCTACAAAGATGCTATGTTGATTTTTGCTAAAGAAAAAAAATCCCTCAACTTTTTTTGTGAAAGCAAACACTATGAATAGTGAAGGCATGTGGTTTATTTAATTCTAAGTGTACACTTCACAATAGGTTTTTAGGATGACATATGTGAGCCTACAGTGTATTTAAAGAACTGGTGACCTCCTCCCTTCCGTCATAACACAATTTTAAGAATTTTTTATAAATACAGTTCACAGAGTTTAAAGCAAAATAAACAGTATGTTTATGGTTATTTTTTCCCAGAGTAATAAATAACAGAAAAAAGTATATAACAGACTCTATTTGCTAAGTCATTCCTTTTCCAGTGCAGGTATAGCACTATCACTAGCAATCACACATTTGATTGATTGCAGGAGGAAGGACTCGAGGATATGAATTTTCTAAGACTATTACTCAGAAATATTTTGCTTATTCTTGCCAATGATGACAAAAAAGTGATTTACTGGAAAAAAAACGTATTATGTAGGAAAACCAATGACAGACATTTAATCTTAGTTTTAGCAACCAATTATTATGCTGTGTCCAACACTGCAATACTGGAAACATTTCTCTTAAAAGAAATTGTCATGAAAAGGTAAATAACAGCACTGCTGTTTTCTTTCATAAACATCTTTAGAAACTAGGCCTTGTAGTGTTATTTTTGAAATTGCCACATTCACCAACCTCCTTAAGTTATTAATAGCTTGTCTGCCTTTGGCATGAAAACACATCTTGTTAAAATAAAGCAATTCTTTTATTCTTAGACTCCAAAACTATAAATATTAGTCAGTAAAAAAAATATTAAAACACCCAAACCTAGAAAAAAGTCCATAAAGGATAACAGATTAATTCAGACACAGTCCCAATGCAGTTATGTTAGAAAATATAGACAGAGCGTAGAACCAATGATGTGTTATTTTAACACAGAACATGTTTTTTTTTAGGGTTTTTGCATGGTCCTCTCCAAGGGTAGATTCACAGGACATGTATGTACAAGAGTCTGGATTCTCTGTCAGTGACTAAACACCAAAAGCCAGGCATTATCTCACCTAGGTCCTCTGCTAATCAGACAGAGACAGATTCAGATGACCTCATTCCAAATGATATTGACTCCAGAGCAACAGTGGAGTTTCTTTAAATTGGTGGGGTGATGTGTGCCAGGAAAAGGTGCTTAGCTTTCAAAGCAAGCACAAGGAATGGGCAGTGGGACCTCGAGGCAGCTGCTGGCAGTTAAAGTGCTGATTCTTTCATGTGTTACAGTGCGAAACAGTGAAAACTGAACACTATTTAAATTAATAAAAAAATGCACCACAGACACCGTATCACTAAGAAAGCCAGTAACTTTACTGATTTGTCTGCAAAATACAAATTATACCTTATTTCCAGCAGGAGAATCTTTTGAAATTTTCTCATTTTTGTTCACTACAGACAGCTGAATTAAGTCCCTTGAGATACACAGATGTGGTTTAACTTAGTTATAACATCTTGTCATCTAGTGGCGACAAAGTCCAGCTTATGCCGCTGTGAGCCTCTACTTTAATATTTGTTGCAAATGCTTGTATGCTCCCATTTACAAGCTATTTTGTTATCACCATTGTTTTATGGAAGCAAATCCCCATGAAAGAGAAGAAAAAAAGAAAAAAAAAAGGATACAACAAACCATCTGAAGCAATCCAAGTGTAATGCCTGCAGTAACCCAGGTCTGATATTAATTAATCCACAAAAGACTCTGGTACTGCATTTTTTATTTTTATTTTTATTTTTTAAATGACTTAACTGACCTTTTTTTGAATCAAACTGAGGTACGGATCAGTCTGAGGTATGACGGGAAGGTAGAAATGCAACACCTGATTACGAAAATAATCAAACATACTTTTGATGCATAAAGTCTGTGGCTCAAAGCTTGGATTGCTCCACATCTTTGGTTAAAATGTATTAACAAAAGCCTTTTATTACATCTACAGTCTGAAGCATTCTAACAGATACCAATGTTCCATCAGTCCTTCAAGAGACCTGTAGTGGCAGGAAATTAATGCCATATAACTGACGACATCACAGCAGATGGCACAAACAGGAACAGATGAAGTATGCCATGTTTAGGCAACAGCCTTTATTGAGGTTTCAAGTGGCTTTTAAAAAATTACAAAGCATTTACCTTCCAGGCGAAGGAAGAAGGAAAACAAAACAGGTGTTAGACTATAGATAAAAGAGGGTATATAGGATAACACATACAATACAAAAGGGTTGACATCCTTGAAAACAGTTCTTCTATTCTTATGCTAGCTTTACCTGAAAAAGATCTGAGGACAACAGATAGTTTTTATATTATTCATTAAAAATTGCTAAATTCCTCTTCTGGGAAAAATATAAGCCATTTTTGTTATAAAACACAACTTTTGAAAGACACTGAAATGACAAAAGCTTTACTGCGAATGGTTCAATGCATACAATATACATGTTGTGCAGATAGGGTATATCATATAATTGTCACCAGCAATTAAACACTAACTGACAACACCTTTTAATAGGGGTTAGCTTAGCTATAACAATACTTGCAGATGTCTAGAATGCCACTTCAGGTGTTTGAACTTACAATTAAGAATGTTGCCTAAAACATCATATAACATGGGTTAAGGTAAAGTAAATGTTAATACTCTTTCAGGGCTCTGCCCTAAACTCCTTAAATACAAAGGAATCACACAATAAACCCAAATTAGCTTTGCAAATACAATAAATGGTAAGGTACAGATAAAGGAACAAGAAAGGTAGACAGTTATAGTTTACAGAAAGTGACTTCACAATCAATGTTGTGCTTCTTATCATTAGATCAGTTTGCAAATATGCATTATCCCCCACAATTTTGCCAGTATAAGTTAGTTGCCCTCTGCAAAAGGGACAAGAGGGCCAACTGGCATTTATTTTCACGTGATTCTGTTCTACTCATGTTTATACAAAAATCACTGTCAGAGTTAATATAAATTGCCCAGGCAATACTTTTCACGCTACTTTCTGCTTAGTTACTTGCAGTAATATATTATACTGCATCTTCATTAAATATGGTATCTTTCATTTTTTTCATGCGTTGCTGAGGCAAATCGCAAGGTAAACTATTAATATGGCTATTCTTCATGTATCAATAGACCAAATCCCCTTCCCCACTGACAAGTTTCTACTACAATACCGATAAAGTATTTTTTTCTTGAAATGACAAGGTACATTTATGATATATTTGCATATTTTTGACACATCAAACTTTAATATTCTCAGAAGAGAATATGAGTATTGATTCATCTGAAGGTGAAGAAAGTGGTTTCAAAAACAGGTTATTTTGTGTTTTAAAATTAATTATGGGCCCCATTTGACTTTTTTTTTCTTTTTGTGCTTTTTTCTTTTTGTTGTTTGTTTTTTTTTTTTTGTTTTGTTTTGTTTTGTTTTTAAACATGCGTATCTTTGTTTACCCTGCAGTTTGCTCCACGAGAAAAGATGGATGCATTAGTAGCACAGTATTCTGCTTAAGGAGTTTCCAGATTATACACTAGCCCCTGCACGGCTGACAGTGCCTGTAAGGCAGGTTTCTGTAAAGTCATGGTAAGTGAAGAGCCTATGTCCTAATGCACACTGTAGTCTGATCATCATTCTCTACTAAAGAGAGGTACACTCTATCATTGAGCAGTGCACAGCAACTGCACATACAGGTGGGAAAAAGAGTGTGGATTTCCCTTAACAAAATATTTTGTGTTGACATTTCGCTGTCGCAGCTATATCCTTCATCATAGTGTCAATGTATGTAGGCGAGACCTGGAAGGACTCTTGGAAAAAAGGAGATATATTACAGTTTTACTATGGCACTAACATTTTGCTTAAACACTTTTCCCCTCCAACAGAAAGATTCAACTGAAACACTTGAATACACCATTTTTTTTTTTTTCTAATAAACAAGAGGAACAAAGAGGGACTTGAAGAAAATGACACATTCCCTCTGGTCAAGTTATCTTAGTCAAAGGAACAGTATGAGGCTGGACAAAATGTGGATGCCATATGCTAAAGCAAGTCCTGCTCTGGTGTAAACACACAGGGAGCGTTGCTCAACAACGTGCCCACTGTGAGATGACGTGACTGCGGAGGTCCGTGAGAATCAGGGACCTGATGGCCAACATTGGCTGTGTAAGATCAGTTGACTTTGTTTGATCCTTTAATTGATGATCTCTGTAGAAGTTTGATGTCTGTGAGAGAGGGGAGTAATCTTTATACCAGGCACATTTGTGCTGATCCCTCCCTTTGCCTCTCTCTGCTGCTTCGGCACATATTCACCTGCACTCACGTAAGCTGACAGCCGTTCGAGCTGCACACCCAATTCTGACAGGCAGAATACCAGCTTCATTAATGAGAAAGGGCCAAGTTACGCCACTTTGTCATTTAACCCATGGAAAACTACAAGATACGCAGGACGTTAAGTAATAGAAGGGCCCTTAACTTGTTACAATGCACAAAACAGCATGAAAGAACTAATCAGTATATACAATGGATCGCAGTTCACCCAACTGTTTGTAAAATGCTGCATTAAAATGATTTAGGTTGTTACACCATGGGTAAAGTCTAACTGTTTACAGATCAGTCTTTCAACAGCTGACTTTGATCTGTAAAATGTATACCCAGTAAAAGAAAACCGAAAGAAAATAGTTAAATGTGCAACTGCACAAATATAATTCCCCACTATTAAGATAACAAAAACTTTTGCTATTACCATAATTATTATATATATTAGAAAGCTATACACAAGCATGTTAATTTCACAGATTTTTTTAAAAGATTCTTAATATTTTATATAATTAGAAATACACATTTCAAAAACAAAACTTCTGCAAAGAGAAAACAGTTATCTTGGTTAGCAAAGCATGGAGTTCCTCAAGGCTTAGGGTAGTGCTTTCTATACAAAAAGTCCTTTTTTGTTTGTTTCTTCAGGACTGTTTAAAAGATTAGCAAAGCTATCAAGGAAAAAAGAACACAATTTGGCTTAAGGAAACTACAAAAGCCACAAATGCTTTGCAAACTCTGTCTTACTTTTTAATATGAAAATAAGCAAAATGTAATGTACATATTTTTATACTTTTTTTTTTTATTTAATAAGTGATGCAGACCCAGAATTTTTAAAATTAAATATGTCAGCCCTCGAACTCAACATTTTTACAAGTATGGTCCTCTTTAAATGTTTCGATCCTTTTTAAATGAGTGCCATACTCTAAAAATATGCCTGCATGTTTGTGAGAATTTTCGGTATGTTAGGTGACCCAGTCTCTTTCTAGAATCAATTCATGGCCACCCAACTGCTGGGTCTGTCAAAACATCTGTACATTTTCTATATGTTGCATAACAGCTGCTTTCTCTCTCAGTAAAGATCTGCCATTTCTGGCAAATGTTTTCCTTTTGTCTATTTACATGTAAATAACGTTGAACCTGCAACATGACACTATCTATTGTAACATACATTTTGCAAGGGAGCACAACAGTGAAAAGAAGTTAGCCTTAAAATCTAGTTTGTACAAGTGTTCTGTTGTACAACTCAAGTGCTAAGCTTATCTCAGCATTTCTGTTTATCCTTATACTGCATCACTGAGGCAATTTAAAAGTACTTTTACAAAACAGAGTACCTGACTTTTTTTTTTTTCACACACGGCACATATAATGCATATCGACCCCCTCCCCCCTCCCCCCATTAAGGTATAGCACACACACACTGCAAGAAAAAAAAAAAACAACTAATAGGTAATAATGTTATCATGTTGCCCATCCTTCAGAGAGCCGCATGCGCTTGACAGAGGGGCTTTCCCTTTCGTCCGGCGAAGGTCTGGTGAGTCCAATGGGGGAGTGGAATTCGTTCCGGTGATCTTCTCGGTCACTTCCATCATAGGAACTGCTACAGCTGCTCAAACTGTCAACAGGAGATCTCCCCGCCTCATGGCGCGTGTGCTGCGGGTATCTCGATGGTGTGGTGGTACGGTCTCTAGGAGGAGAAACAGGTTCTGACTTGATGTTGAGGCTTTGAGTAGAAGGCAGGGAGAGATTTGTACTCTGAGATAAATGAGTGCTAGTGCAAGCTCTGTAGGAGGAAAGGAAACCCAGTTACAGACGGAGGAGGCATGGAGCCCCCAGATATGCACAAACACTCACACAAAACACCAGTGTAAAGGCTCGCGCAGGACCAGAGCACACAGAGAGCATGGGGACTGTTGTCTGGGCAGAATTCACAAATTCCAGGAGATGAAAGCACCACAAAGTGGTCGACTTGAGTGGGACGTGCCCTTAGTTTGGAAGGAGGTCTTGCTTTCAATCTCTCTGTCTCCATTTTTTTTAAAATCAAATGTCACCACAAATTTGGTGAGGCGAGCCTTTGCACTGTTGGAACCACCTACAGGTTTCTGTGTAACTAACACTGTGCGTGTGTATGCACCGGCTGAGACAGGGGAGGCATAGGCTTTCTGCTGGGATTAATCCAATTACTTTGAATGCACCCAACTGCTTCTATCACTCTTCATTTTGACATGTGACTTCAGATGCAAAACAGAAACAAAAAAAAATCTGGCCTGGGATGTTTTATACCTTTACCTTTCAGAATAGAGTTGAAATTACTGGTCCTAGGATTGACAGGAATAAAATAGCATTGGAATGCGAGGATTGAGATGTGATTCTGCAATTTAAATCTATGAATCTGTAATTCAATCCAGAACACTTTTGGATGAACTATCAAAGAGAAGCCAAAAAGTAGTGTCAGAGGCCTATACTGTTTGTGTGTAGGAGAGCCAAATCAGAGGATGCTGTTAGCAGACAGAATATTACAGGGAAACTTTTTAACTTTTTTAATCTGTATAATTATTCTAAGCTCTTTTTTTCTTTTTATCCTGTGCATTTTTGTGGGCAGGTAATACCAGAGGAAAGATGAAACAAGCAGGGAGGAGAGTGAATACTGAGAACATGCATTCTCTCTATGGGAGAAATGAGCTCATTTGTATCTGCACAATATGTTGTACAAAAGCACCACCTCCTGGCAAAACCTAACTTTTTGTTATTAAAATAGAGTTCTTGACATGCAAGTTCCTATTATGTTCCACTTCAGAGACCATCTGCTAGGCTGAAGTTAGTGTCTAACCCCACAGACACAGTTTCAAGGTTTCTACTCATTTATACAGACAGAGGGAGGCAGTAGGGGCAACAGACCACTTGGTTTTACAGAATTTTAAACCCAAAGGGATATGCAGGCATTTTTAATTCAAGAAGATGCAACACTGGGATTTGGAAGAAATTTTTAAGCATGTAGAAGACACAGTTAAGTTTAGATGTGGTCTTTTCATTTATTGAAATACTTCACTTTTCCTGGTATCTCATCAGCTGAGAATTGAGATTAACATTTACTACTATGATGAAAGACAAAATGGATTTCTTTTTCTTTTGACAGGTTTAAAATAAAACTACATGCCTTCAATACTGAATGATATCAGCTGCTTTTATCAGGAATTACTGCAGTGTTTAATAATTAATGGATCCTGTTAGAAAACAGAAAAGAGGACATTCTACCTCCAATTGCTTTTATCTACCCTTCATTCCTATACAGATGACAGTGCCAAATCTGCAACAAGCCCTTTCATAAATTACCGAGTTCATGAGTAATAGTACTCATAGTAGCAAATGTGGAATTTTTTTATTTTTTTTTTTTTTTTTTTTTTTTTTTTTTTTGCTATGAGTACATTTTCCTTGGTTTTGCTTTTGTAGATATTAAATTAACACATAGAGGAAACTGTAAATATAAGACTTTGCCATTCCAAGTTATTGGAATATTCCACTCCTCTTGAAAACTTGTTAAAAAAATCCAACAAGAATCAAATACACATTTCTACCCTATTGTTTTTGCTTTTCGTTTCCAGTGACTTAATTTTTCAGTTGCTTAGGAGATCCTAGGACTTCACCTGAATAAACAAGCTGTCAGTTTAGCATGTATGATAAGATTACATATGATTTCAGATGCCAAGCTTATAGATAAACCTGAAAGTCCCATTATAAAGGATGGTGGAGCCTGGGGATTTGATTTAGAGGTGTTTGATCTGAGCAAATGACATGTCACTTTGCAAACCCGGGATAACTAAAAAACCCATGCTAGATAAAAATAACCATATTCAGTCAAACGTGTTCACATGGAACATACTTGCATTCTATTGTGTGACAGCCCCCAAAGTAACTAACCTAGAGGGATAAGCTGAATTTTCAGTGAAAGATGGCTGGTATTGCTGTACTGCAATATTGCCTTTTTAACAGTGCTTCAGAAGTGAGTATGAGAATGCATTTCTATAGACTTTTCCAGAGACTCCTTGTGATTTATCAGCAGGGTTGCATAAATACCTGGCATACAAACTGGAGGCAGTTTTATAATGCTTCAGGTTGATTTGCACATTGAACATTTTTTTTAAAATAAATTTAAAAAAGGTTAAGAAGTCATTTTGGCAGGTCAGGACTGAATTTTTGATGTTTAAAACAACATAAATAAATTGCAGCAATTATTTTTATTCACAATTTTTTTTCCTGTTTAAATATAGTTTTTTTTCTGCCAAAACTATTTCTAAACTTAAATATCTATTTATTTGACTGTAATTTACATTATTTCATTAATATTTTCTGACATATTTTTCTGAGAATCTCATCTAAGTTAAAATGGTCACTTACAAGGGAAACCTACTATTACACATACACATGAAATGTGAAATACTATATACTTAGGTGCAGCCTTTAGACCTGTATTCTAAACAGAAGACTGACCTATTTAGAATAGAAGATCTATTATAAAAAATGAGAATTGTGCCAGTTACAAAATTATTTAATTTCCTGTATACATGTGTGAGTGTACAAACAGCTGTTTGCACTGATACATTACAATGCATATTTTACACTGTTGCTTCATATAATTACATGATTTTGGTCCAAGCATGACGTCTTTTTATCATTTGAAACCTACACTAAATTCTCTGGAAAACAAATTAGATTTGAATACGGGAAACCCACTAAGAAAGTAAAGGAAATGACTTCAAAGTTGGTGTATAATTATGTGCACTCAATAGGTGCCTGGCAGTCCACTCATGTTGATGTCATCACCTTTTTCCACATATTGTATGAAAATACTTAATTTTATGGGGATAATGAAGAAAATTAATGTTTTATTTTGGCACAGCAGTTCCCGTTTAGACCAGTGTAGTGAAAATGTGGTGTTTATTTAGATTATGATGGGCATATGGAGAAATGTTGGTTCCTATCTAGGTTCCACATGGAAGAACTTCACAGCTCTGCTGTGTGAGAGGTGGGGAGCAAGGTAGGGTGTCATGAGCTTGGAAGGGAGTTTGGTCGTCATTGATGCCAGGGAGATCAGTTCTTTGTGTGTCGCCACCTATTTGAATCTCCAACCGGTATTGAAGCTCAGCGTGCACAGGCAGAAGTGCAGCTCTGAGTAGGTGACAAGGGAGGACACAAACATGCACCAGGTAGGCTTTTCCAGTAGGAGAAAGTAATCTATTGAAGGAAGATGGAGCCTCACATACCTACGTACACACTTGCATCTCTAGATTAGTTTACTTCCTCACTTCATCCAATTTTCCCCCATAAATACAAGTAACGAACCATTGAAAATTCACTGCAAAATTTAGTTATGTGCTAATTTGTAGGTAGGAGAATAGAGGATATTTTTGCCTTGCTAGCAATGCAACCCTCCTCCCCTTTGTTTTTTCTTTAGGTAGTTTGTTGTTGTTTGGCTTTTTTTAATATGAATTTTTTGGTCAAAGTAGCAGCAGAATAAGAATTTCTGTGTCAAGGTATTTTGATTAGCTCTGACACATTAGGATTTATACTTTTTAAAAAGGCATTTCTAAACAAATAGTAACAAGAAACTGAATCACTGGAACATCTTATTTCCAATACAGGCACAAGAATAAAAGGTTCAATCTGAAATACATGAGCTTTTTATTCAAAACAAGCAGATTGGCAGAACTGATACAAATTCATTAAACTTGACATCACTGTATATAAATTTTTCAGTAAAAATGGTTCAATGGAGGATATTTGCCTATATTTAGCTGTGGTTATTATCTAATCAAAAGTAATCATTGCTAAGTAATAATCTTGCTATTTAAGGTCACAGAATAAGTCAACAATACATACGACTTTGGAAAACTTTGTTTGGGTGGGTAGAAGTTTGGAAAAACTTTTCTTATGCAAACAACTATCTATATTGAAGATTATTCAGGTGAAATACTGTTTCTATGTTTGTATTCATATTTTAGGAAAGCCAAAATTTCACCTGTGGATGTTAATTTAGGAAGAAAAGATAGTGACTTAAACTGGGAAATATGGATGCAAGAATACATATCCATATAATGGATTTGTGCCAAAAATTTGGATCCCTTATTATAATGTTTGGAATGAATTTCTCTTCTGGTTATCAGCAATTAATTTCTGTTAAACTCTTTGGTACATTTTAAATAAACAATAACCTGCTCTGTAAGAGACACTGAAGCAATATTCAGACCAAATCCCAAAGTCTGGAATAGAATGATTTTCAGTAGAATTTGTGTGTATCTTTTTCCAGATGCAGACCCATTTAAAAGACCATTTTGCTTTTTAACCTAAAAAGTTGAAAAGTCTATCTTGTTTTAGTGTTCCAGTCTTATCAAAACAGGCTCTACATTGTTATGCTGTTCACCAGGCTCTGCAAGAGGCCAAAAGCTGCACAGACAGGGAAGATGAACCCTGTCCTCAGGTATTTGCCCTCAAATAAACCAGAACTAGTATGGCTGTTAATTGCAGAGTCAATATGAATTAAGAGCCAGGTTGCAGAGATCTCCTCCAATGACCTTAAAGATTGTTCTGACAGTGCTGCTGAAATTGTTGGGGACTTATCTGGAGCATGCTAATACATTTAACCCTGTCCTACTCTATTACTAACCAAATTCTTTTGTCCAGCACTGCGGAAGTAGAGTCGGTTTTCACCTTTAGACTTTGCTGAAAAACAAAACCTGAGGGAGAACTAGAATGTCTCTTCCACTAACTCACCTGTTTTCTCACAGATCTTTACAGTCTATTGATAACAACAAACATCTCACAGTTGCCAAATCTGTTCAGTATAGGACCTAAGTCAGCAAAGTTGTCAAAAGCTTTCTAGATGTATTTTCTCAAATATAAGAGGATGACTGTAATTTTGTTTGATTTTTAAATTTTCCTGCTAATTCTAGCTCATCTTGACATGGACTGAATATGTTCTATATAATTTCGAGTTTTTCAAATAATCCAAAAGTTAGCACAGGTGCCTTTGCATGCAGAACTCAGTGACTAAAATAAAGGTTTATGATTTTCTGCAGAGATAGAAGACTTCTTCAGAACTGTCAGTGAAGACTTTCATAGCTGAATTAATTTACAAATCACTGAAATAATAATAATAAAAGTAGCAACTCAGAATATATTCCACAGCCACAGTCATTACACTTTGACATTCTGTGATATGGATTAGAAACAGATCATGATGTGTGACATATCTGAAAAGGCATGTAGTTAGTTTAGGATTTAATTTATACATTTCTTTGGTTAAACAAATAGCCTTATTACATTCTTTGGTATGCCACTGAAAACAATCATCTTATTGGAAGTTTATACATTGATATCCAATGTGAGCTTTCAATCCGAGACTTTATGTCTTTAGTTGAACCTTTAGTCTGAATGCTGCCCCAGAAACTGTGTAAACTCAAAAAGAAAATAGAAGTTTAAGAGAAAGAAATTAAGACTATTTTTTCCTATATCAGCAATTACTTCAATTGTATGGTTTTTTATCATTAGTATCTATAGATACTTATTTATACAGAAATGAGGTTTAATTTTTTTTTCCTTTGAGACACTTGTATAGCTCTCCTTAAAAGCCCAGATTGTCTGTACATGGTAAAGAGATCAAAATAAGTTACAAAAAGCATTCAGATAAACTGGAAAAAGAATTTTGAAGTTTAAGCCACATTTATACTATTAAATAGTTCTACATTATGGCAACAATCTTGAAGAAAAAATAGCACATGTGCAACAACTCTTTCTGAAAAAAAATTCAAATGCATCTGAATTAAATTACCCCTCCTAAATACACTCCTGCTGTTTTCAACTTCTATTTTTATAACTGAAACTTTTAAAATTCAAACATGTCTACTCATACAGGTCTGTGTGCCACACTGCTGCCTGCCTACGTTCTTACTTAATAGAAATTGAAGATATCAGAATATCTGAAAATCATACAACTGTTAATTTCAGTGAGCCAACAGATTGTATGTTCAAGAATGCATTAGGTGATCTCCCTCATGAATTTTCACACTTCTAAAGATTTTGAAATGATCGAGCAGTGTGCTTCTCAAAAACTTGAATAAATATCTCAAAATTAGCCACTAGACGACAGGAATATCTGTACTCCTCAACATCAGCACATCACAATGATTTTTATGGGATCACAATTCTTAGGCCTAATTATGCTATTTTCTGTTATGTCAGAGTTGAGTAGAAGGGAATAGTGATTATTAGATAAGGTTAAGGCTTAATCTCAGGTCAAATAATTGTGTAATTCTTACTTGATTAAAAATATTTAGAAAAATTTCAAGTTTACTGTAAATGTTTGTGCTATAGTAACTGGAAATAAAAAGCATAAATAGCAAAATATAGCAATAGTACAATAGGTGTTCAGTTTGGTTTTAGTATTGAAATAAAATGCTATTTAAAGAAATAAAAACTAAAACATAAAGAGTACGCTACCAAGAAAATGTCATGGACACAATATTTCATAGTAGTTACTTAGCAAACGTTCCATTGAATATGTAGTTCCAGTTTTGCAAAATGGAATTCTTACACAGAGTAAATATGTGCTGATATGTTATCTTGACATATTTTACATTTGTAATTACTGGGGAGACTGAAGTCGCTCTAGGATAATAAAATAAAGAAAACACTGCTTACCCCAATTGACTGAGGGCAGATGGTGGCATGTTGTGTAGGTGTTGCTGTTGCCAGCCAGTCACAGAACCAAGATGAAGAGCACTGGCTGTATTAAACCCAGAGAGAGATGATATATCCGCACTACTCAGAGAATATTCTAGATTTGAAAACAGAAAGACAATAATTAAGAGAGAATTAAAGAGGAAGCAATTAAACAACAACTAGCATAGTAATTTTCACATCATTTCATAAGCCTTTTAATTTTAATTACATCAATCACATTAAGTTGCAGCAGAAAAAGTAAACCTTCCTCTTCCCTCAACTCATTAACTTGGGAGCAAATAAAGCACTAATAATTATTCTGTTAGCAGGGATTTACTGAGTTTGAAAGAACCAAAGCATTCTTAGACTGTATATCCACTGTAACTACAAATGCACTGTCAGAAAGACTTGAAAAACATAATATTTTGATTACAGTCTTCCTTGCAGAACAAAATGTGTCTTCTCTAAGAGCATTGGATCTGTGTGTTAGCATACTCTGTACAGTAGCAATACACAACAGGAACTGCAATGGATCTCTGGAGGCTTCATTTCTATGCCCTCCCAATAACTGTGTGATAGCCCACAAAGTTACTGAACTCTGGTGTGGAGACACTTAAGCTGCTCCTTCCCACTACCCTCATGGCTTTAGGATGGTGCACTCAACTACATAGAAGGTACCTGCATAGAAGACTAAGAACTGTCTTTTAAGTTACATTTTTTTTTAATGTTATTAAAACCAAGGAAAGAAAGCTACCAAATCAGTCTTTCATTCAAACAAGACAGCTGACTTTAAAATAGATGTGTCTGAAGTTAGTGACAGGTACAGAATAAGCAAATGTAGTGCAAAAGCATATCAGCTACGAATTTTCAGTTTCTCCCAAGGAACATTAGCTAATTCATTAGTACTAAGATAGACACTTGTCAGCACCTTGCTCCCTCCCCCATCCTTTGCATCCTGCACCCATACTTACCAGTACCATATGTTGTTGAGATTGCTGATGGGTATCCTCCCATCCCTTGCCCTGGTAGAGTAGGAGTTGCTACGGAAACCACTGGAGTAGCCAATGACTGAGCAGACTGGGAGTTATTTATCCTTTGATTCTTTTAAAGTAAGTAAAATAAACATATTATTGACTAGCTTTAAGTTATTGGAGTGTATTTTCTTTCTGTGTATGTTCTGTGCATGAGAAATACAGGCTGATACAAATTTCTAGAAATTAATCCTTTAACATGTGGCTTTGATGAACTCTGCCAACCCTATCATTTACAAGCCTTCAAGAGACCAGTTGTCACCACAGTAACACATTACATCAGTATCTCCTAGGTAACTGAACTTGTAAGATTGCTTTTATTGTGGGTAGAAGAACAGATCATGTGAAAAACTTATGAAATATATAAGCTCCATTCCCATTGTTTTCCTTTTCACTCAAACAGAAAAAAAACCAACCACAAACAACAGCAGCAAAACCCACAAAGCAAAACAAAACAAAAAGGTGAAAGAAAAACCCCCAAACACAGCTCCACTGGATTTTGAAAGTGATGGACACCCCCAGGCTGCTGAACACTGAACTCTTACCAGCAGATGGTGCTCTGACTACTTCAGAGTAGTTTTTGTGCACTAAAAAAAACTTTCAAGGCTCCTACATAGCACAGCAGTTACACGCTTATCTTTAACTCAAAGGCACTAGATGTTGCACTGTAAAAATTACACTAGAGAACTCTAGTTCTGTGAGTGGCAGGAAAAAATGACCAGAGAGCCACAACAAGGCTGTACCACCTTCAGCAATAAAAGTTTACATGCTCTTAAAGCATCAGTAACAAGAAAGATTAATTCTGGCAGGCATAATTTGAATATGTGCAACAACTACACCTGGTCTTCTATATTGTTCTACCAAAAAAATTACAATGAGCTATCTGTTCAAAACATATTTATTATGGTAGCATTTTCCATTTTATTTCAATCAACATTTCACCTACATAATGAAAAATAAACTGTTTTTCTTTTTTTTGTTATTAAGATGAACATCATTACCACTTACCAGAAGCAGATCAACATCCTCAGACTGATTGCATAGGAAAGGAGTGTTAAAAAATAGTGAATATAAATATTTTCCAGGATGCAGGTTTCTAGCTTAGGGTTTGTTTTCATCTGATAGGGGTAGCAAATTAAACATTTTCTGAGCATAGTTTGGAAAAATAACATGTCATAGATCTCTTATTTGTCCTTCTAATGGAATGTTTGTCTCAGTTCTAGGGGCAATTTATCCAGTTTTCAGCACAAGACTTTCGTTAAGAATTCACTGTTTCTTCCACAGCCCTGTTGGTTGCAGACTATCATGCTACACCTGACGACTCAAAAAATCCCTTGGAAAATATCAGTTTTAAGGGCCTTGAAATAAATAATTTGACACAAACAGCTTACTACAGCCTTGGTTGACTTTGAGTATTGCCCTGTAGCACTATTTGGTACTTATTTGCTTAGAAGGTAGCACCACATTTATGGGGGTTTCTAGTTTGATGGTTAATTTCTTTTTTATCAAGCTAAAGTAACCAACTTGGAAGTTGTTTTAATGATGTCTGTTACATAATGGAAAGCTGCCTTTATATTGTCACTTAAATTTACTGTCAAGATACCTTTTAGTTTAAGCTCACTTTTGATGTTAAATCACCCACAAAAGATTTACTTGCAAACACTAGTTGACTTTTTGAAGGGAATTACAAGACATGCACATGAAACCTTCCCAATTCAACCTTCTAGCGTAATATACCGCATAAACTTCACTAATCCTGGCAGGAGACACCACAACTTCATGCTCATTTTTCTCTTCCTCTTCTTTTGCTCTTATCATTACAAAATTTGGAGCTCAGAGTAATAGACTTCAAATCAATTTATTTACAGTTAATATGCCATTTGCTGAGAGTCTGTGTGGCTAAATGTTTAAGAAAAACATATTAGGTTAGGAATATTCAGGGTTAAATTCAGTCTTTATAACAAACCCAGGAAAGGCTCTTTCAGCTAGTAAGGAAAGAGACTGCAGGAGTTTAGACTGTGCAGGACACAGTTCCTATTTTGCAACTAACAGAAAAAAGGGAGGAAGTAAATATGACTTCAAAAAAGCAATCAAAGAGGCTCAGCCTACATCCTCAGCTTGATGTCAAACCTTAAGGTTATGAAGACAGACCAAACAAGCAAGAATTTAATTGCTTGATCCAGCCTTGAAATTCTCAAGTAACTCTTATCTGAAGAGAAAAAGAAAAGCTTTGAAAATGCATTACCACTGATGGCATGGTATTCTTGCTGCCAGGTGGAATAAGCACACGGAGATCTGGTTTGCGGTTGTTCATTCCCAAATTCATCGGAGGCGGAGATTTTGCTTGCATATTCTTGTTCAAATTGCCAGGTGAGACCAGCAGACCTGGTGAGTTGCGGGGGTTGCCATATCCATTTCCTGTTTAGGTAAAAAAAGAGAAATTAAAAAAAAAAAAGGGGAGAGAGAAGTTTGATAAACTCCTGTGTATTTTTGAAACCTCAACATTAAAAATGCAAAGTAAAAAACTCATGGTAAATACCTATGTCATATATCTTTATGGAAAAATACAACACATGCTATATTTGGAACAATTGGTCTTCAAATGCTTTCTCTCATGGCTGCTGACAGCTTAGAGATGTGCTGAAATATGACTGTTTACAGCACTCTGGTATATAACACAATATACTGTGCCCTTGTAGCAGCCAGCATCTGACATTTGCCTTACAAGAGAATTGGGAAAGTCAGATAATTTAAGGGCTTAAAAAATGTCAAAGTTATTCCATGTTTTCTCGACAACTACAGAGCATCATGCCTTTCCTGACTCAGCCCTTTGTAGGTCATGATTTTGTTTTGCTTTTAAACAAAGGATGAGTATAGCAAGGCTATAATTTCCAGAAAAGCAGGAGGAGGACTAAGAAGATTTGTAAATGCTTTTGGCTTTCTTTCACTACACTTTTTGGACCTGATTCCGTCAACACTAAAGTCAATGGGAGCAAGATCATAACTTTATTTGGAAAATACCACCATATCTTTCATCTTCATCTCTCTGCTGCAGGCTCCAGGAACAGTTCTGACAAGGGAATGCTTCATTTGCCTTTTTCAGAAAAGGGTTTCCTTTTCTCACCACACAGGACTGACAACCGTGTTTCCTTAAGGTTACTGACCTACGATTCCACTAAAATGAGACCTTTCTATTTTCTCTGCCTGATTTCACCTCTTACCCAAACAAAGACTGGGGTAAAAGATGACTTTTTAGCCTAACCTTGAAATTCTGTCTGCATAGTCTCAAGAGACATACAGAAACAGCCCAGTCACAGGGAGGGAATAGAACAAAAACTATTAAAGAAAGAGAAAACTTTTACATACAAATGCCATGGAAAAAAATGCTAGGGAAGACTTTCTGTTCTGTGCTCAGCTTTTGTTCATAGTTCTTGAGCTGTGACACATAACCTAGAATTCATTTGAGAAGATGAGTTAGTGAGAGTGGTAGAGCCCTGTGGGTCAGAAATCCTGGACCTTCAAATTTGCTCTGTAGTCCCAAAGTCAGTGAAGAAGAAGTATCTCACTTCTCCACCACACACCCCAAATTTATGGAGTTTACAGCCCTAAAAGACATAAATGGATTATGGAACTAAATTTGATAATGTCTATGAGGTGGGCATAAAAATGACAGTACATGAGAGTGATTAGCTTTTTTGGTTAAGGACAATGAAGTGCATCCAAGCATGACTAAGATTAAATCATGTTTTCAATCCTCAAGCACATCAGTTAATTGTATTTATCAGATCAGCAAATTCACAGAAATAAAATCTGCCAAAGGCTTTTAAATACAAAAACACCACTTCAGGCTCTGGAAGACCCTGAACTGTGAACACTAGGCTTAGGACACAGGAAAATTATCAAAAAGTGTTTGACTTCTGTATTTATGGTGTACCTTTAGTAACTGCTGTGGCCTGGCTTGTTTATTCTCATGCTTCGTATTATCATGATCTCACAGTCCTTTGCAAAAAAATGAAAACTTAAAAGCACTCAGATCACTTCAGAGATTTTGTATTAAAATATTTTTCGTAGTTAATCCTGTTATTTCTTTAATATCTTACAGTTAGTAAGATAAAATGTTAATGAAAAGAAGTGTATTTTACACTTATCAAGCTATATCAGCAGAACACTATCAAGAATTTTCCATTTTGTGTCAGTAGGCTTTTTTTAAAAAACAAACAATAGTCTCAACATGGATTGGCTACTTATTATACTCTAATTAATGCTATGTGTTACTAGAGGCAGTGAGATTAGAAGGTGCGTTTTGAATATATGACAATATTATCTCCTAGAAAACATAGGGCTTTTTAAAAGTTCATCTTTTACAAACTGAATACTGAAAAAGTAATGTGTTGAGAAGTGATCAACAGGGGGAACTGAAGCAAAAGTAGAATTTCTCTGGTGTTGGTTTTCTACAGGCTATGTTATTCCAGCAGGACGTAAAAGTCCCTGTTAAATCTGTTGTATGACAAGGACTTGTTCAGAGAGTGACAATGAAAGTCTTTGAAGCAGATATGCAGCAAACCAGAATGCACTGTACTCTATACATTTGTTTCTAATTGAGATTTTTGGAGAATAAAACCCCTTACAAGAAAGAACTCCCATTTTCTACATAAAATTTACTTGATATAATTCACTATTAAACACTAAGAGATGAAATGTTTCTGTAAAAACCTTAACTCTTCAGAAACTTTCATCTGACCTTTATTTTATTCACCTACTGATGTCGAATAGTTTGAACAGTGATCAGATTACTTACATTTATATTTAAAAACATAAAATTCTTTTAAAGAACTATTGCAATCTTCTCTTTACCAGGAGATTTCTGCTGTTCATGGCATATTATGCCAGCTAGCATTTTAAAGCCATGTAATAATCATTCCTCTTTCCAACCACCAAATTGTTATTCTTCTGGTATAATGAGGATTCAGGAATGTAAGACTGTGGACCTTAAACCAATGATACAAAAACCCATCATTTGGAAATCAATATTGAATGCATGCATGCGGTTTACAGTTCAGAAGAGTCTGCATTTAAACCAGCTCTTTAAACTGTATCCTTTTAACTCAAGAGGGCTGTGGCCTGCTCTGAGGCAGCTGTCCCACCTTCAGAAAAATCGACTGAAGAGAATAGCCTCATTTACATTCAGAGGCAAAAAAATATGTATAAGACTTCTAATGTACAAATTAAACCTTCATGCTATACTTTCAAATTACACTTTGCCTGGACAATTATCAATTTAGATGTGACTCTATGCAGAACATTGCATTTCACTATCCACTTGAAAGAGGAAAAATTATATGTCGTGTATGAATGGATTTCCTGATTATAGATTATAAGAAAATGAAAACCAGATGGATTTTAGAGCAAGTTGGCTTTACATTTTTATTTGGTTAAAAGCCATATTTCTGCTGGAATAGAACATTTTTAAAAAGTACAAATATATTCTGTAGTGCATAATGAAAATACAAACAGTGGATGCACAACTTTTAAAGGGCATATGTCAGAATTTGCAAATTTACAGCATTTTGAATTCAATAAGTTTTCAGAGAAAACTATATTTCCTTGTACTGTTTGTTATACTAACTTGAAAGAGTAAAAATATTTTACACAGAAAAGAGCTTATTTCTAGAAAGAGTTAGTGGAGCAGAACCTGTCAAGAGATGCAGTGCCAGACTTTGCATTTGGACTAATGGCAGGATACAAGGACAAGTGCCTTCTGAGCACTGAACACTCTTCTTGGGCATGTTCCCACATTGCGCACTTAGGCATAGGTGCCGTTGACTTTAGAAGGAATTCCATACAAGTACAAACTGCAAGAATAATCCCAGCAATACCGCTTTTTAAAAACATCCAGAAAATGTACTTTTGTGCACCAGGAGTTATTAATTCAAAAAGAATTATTAAAAAGAAAAAAATCCATTTACTCATGGTTTAACTGTATTACAATCTTAAATGGTCCCTTCCATATTTTAAGAATTTAACGATACCAGAAGGGCACAAGTTTACTCAGGACACAACTGAGAACAAAGTTTACTTCTCTCCTTTCATCCCCCATTAGGAACACCTGTATCTTAGAAAGAGTTATGGTCATTGGTTTATAGGTATTGCCAAGTGGCTGCAATTCTTGATATTCTCAGAGTTAGGTCAATAATTTCGTACTGAGCATTAAAGCCAGGAAACTTTCCATGTGTTAAGGTAACACAGATGAGGAAAGAATAATTTTTTTCTGTATCTCTCAACATTCTTGAACAGCATTGTCATAATTCCAAGCCCTTAAGGCTTGAAAAATTAGAAATTTTTTATACTTTGATTTCTTGAACTTTTGAAACCGTCATGTTCCTACATTGTTGTTTTTTTTTTTTTAAATTAGTGGTTTCAAACATATAAAAATATACTGAATGAAAAATCCTCTATGGCAGTCCTACAAACACAAAGAATAAGACACACAATTTATACATCTTCTCTTTTCTTTACTCTAGTGCTTTTCACTGACCATATGTATTGAGAACTTAAGAGATCTTTAGGAATCTGGGATGTCTACCTACATTAATTGTAATAAGAAAAGAACATCCAAATTCTTGAAGGAGTTTTAATAAATATCAAAGCTCCTTTCAAGTTTCCAACAACTGTATTCTCTTACTTCTGAAAATTTTAAAATTTCTTCCAAGGTGAATGTGTACTTTCAATTTCATAAAGGATTTCTGGTTCTTACTGGATTACATTAAATGCATATCCCAGAGATACAACATTTGGACTGACCACCAAGCCTCTTAAAAAGAATGTTAAATGTAGAATTAATCTATATATACATGAGAGCAAACTATGCCACAAATCAACTCCAAAATATATGTATATAAAAAAAAAATAAATACAGTAGAAGAAATTTTGCTAAATTTATACCCAGTTTTGCAGTCTTCACTCAGTTCATTTTCCCACTTTCTGAAGGACTGCTAATTGTTCCTACCCGTAATTAAAAGACAATTTTCTCTCTTTTCTCTCTTACATCATGTCTTTTTTTTTTTTTTTACACATGTACACTATTGGAATAGGCTATGGTTTACCACCCAAAATAAACAGCATTAGTGCTAGGAAGCTGTATTGGCGTTCATCTAAAAATAATTTAAAAAAAGGTAATCAAATGTTCTTACTCATATGTCAAATGCTAGTCATTTCACAGTACACAACCTTTACTAACTGCAAGTAGGAAAAGAAAACCAATCTGCACCTATCTTCATGCAGAAAAAAGGAAATCTTTATGTTAAAGTAACTGCCATTCCCACAACACTGAACTAATTCTTTACTGAATTACAGGGAGTCAGCTCAGACAGTCAACTCACACAAAATCTACTGAGTTTTGGTGAAAGAATTCTCAGGAATCCTGTGAAATATCAGCTGCTTTTTGAGCTGAAATGGGATGGCAGTTTGGAGAACACATAGGCATTCAGAAGAATGGGAGGAGAAAGAGGACAAAACTATCTCAAACTCTTTTTGCTAGTTTTAGAACTAAACATTTAGAAATAGAGTAAATAAGAAGGTAGAGATTTCTACAGCAATGTACAACTAAGCTGTCTCTCTCTAGTCACCCATTCTTGCCATGCAGGTTGCATACCTGTCAATGGGAACTTGCCCTTTAAAGAGATGTAAAGGGCACTAATGGCATTTTTGTCCTGTGTGGGAAAAAAGATAGTATTTGGGAACCACTAAAATACTCCCAATACTGTAGGCAATTTAGGTGTACATGCCATCTGCACTGGGACTGCACAAAGCTAAAGGTCAGACTGTGCATCCCATTTAATTATTCTGGGTGAGTTCTCATTTTGGAAATCAAGAAAATCTCCAGTGCTTCCATTGCAGGGGAGGTAAAGGGTCTCTTCAAATTTTCCAAGGAAAACTCTGCGTATGATTTCCTTATATTTGTAGGATATTATGAAGAAAGTGACTTCTCTGTTCTGTGACTCACAATATTCAGTTTTGCTTTGCCCCTTTTCTGGTTCAAGCACTTACGGTACACATTGAGATTGCGTGTGTCTTACTGCTAAATGTTGTATTTAGTGCCATTAATAGTCCTCTAAACAGTCTAATGGCTTGCCTCACCAGATGCCCATCCACAGGCTGACGTTCTGCTCTATCACCATTCCCACGGAGGTGCCTGATGCCTGGCTCTGGGTCTGCCCGGGGCTGCCATCTCCCTGTCCCTGCTTCCTGGCTGGGGAAGTGGGATGCGTCCTGCCTGTGAAGA